TGGGAAAGATGCGATATCAACCAATCGGAAAAGTCCGCGACCTTTTGGAAGTGATGATCACGTGACTCTCCCGGCACTTGCGGACACTCTTTTTCTAGAGTCTAAGGCAGGCAAGAAGCGCTCCCATTGCTCCTGTATAATAAAAGCAGACTGACTTGAAATAGCACCCGTCAAATCAGTATAGACAGGCGATCAATGGTTGATTCTGAATTAATATTCAGCTCTACTGAACTGATTCGAAGCCCACTCGAGTTTGAAGCTTGAAGAGTCGTGGCAGCTTGGAGGAAAGTGTCACCGAATTTGGTGTGGTTGGCTCAGGTATTCGTTATACCTTGTTGAAGTAGCCACTCACTAGTTATTCCCAGAGAGGAAACATAACAATAGTGTTCGCATTGTAAGTATCCACTAAGCCTGTTAAATACCCCGTTCATGGAAAAGCATTTCCACTACATCGTCCGATGCCAACGACAGGGCGAGGATTTTTTCTCTTGACGCGGGTCTGTTGAGCAGATGATACGGACTCGATATTTTCTGCCCCATCTCCGCCGTCTCGATATTCCAAACCTCCACGTGCATGTCAGAAAATGCAAGGAGATAGGGCTCGTGTAATGCTGGGCCAGGATGTCAACGACACACATAGCCAGATTACGCTGAGAAACCTACCGAAAGCTATGGGAACGAAATTCCAACGCATCAACAGTTCGTTCCGCGCCATACTCCCTCTACGGTCGATGTAGAATCCGTACTCTACAACATAAAGATAAGTAGAGCACACATATTAAATGGCAGGACGCACTGTCTGAACAGACAAGGAACAGGTCAGAAACGCGGAACACCGCGATCGGCTTCAGTTTCTTCTGGGTGAACTCGAGAGCTGGATCGCTCGGATCGAGTAAACCCTGCGTCTCCAACGTCGTCAAATTGACGAGCTCGAATCCGCCCTGAACCGCGAACCCTTTCTTGAGCGCGGCTGCGAGTATTGTACGAGAAAGGAACCGTATGGAGGTGGTTTCACGGGGAATATACAGCTCCTACAGAATAATTTAATGAGCACTCGCACGCTCTAGCGGTCCGTGAAGTTTACCCGTGTCATTAACAACGTAGAAACCTGCTGATTCCCGTTGACATCGTAAACTTTGATGGTCCCAGACAAGGCTGAACTTTTGAGGACGCAGACTCGGTAGTTATCCCCCGCAGTTCTGTTCCTGTACACATCAAAGAATGTTGCATGCTTCGATATGCGGCTTATATCAGTTTCCTGGCAAGTTCCAGCGTCGAGTGTGCTAAGAGGAATACTCATGAACACTCCGCCTATGGAGCAATCAGCGAGAAGTTCAGTCCCTCGAGGGACTAAATAGAATTAACTACATACCAGCAAGACACAGGAACAGGTTCGCATCTGGGAGTATCTCGATCTGAGAGACACTGTTAATCGAGAGGAGCCGGGGCCGAGAGCCGTCTTTAGAGCCTCGGTATATGCCGTCTGTAGTCCCGTAGATCAAACCATCGGTATTTCCTGGAGGCAGTTGGACTGACGGAATTTATTGAGGACGGCGAAAGAGGCCTCACCTTGTTGGCAGGGTACAGCGCAGGTGATCTTGCCGAATCCACCGTGAGCAACCACAGGCACAGGATGGCAGATCATTAATTCCAGCAGCAGACATTTGCTCCGTAGAACCCAGGCACGGGAAACGAGATTGCATGCCAGAAGAGACGATTTATCGGCGCGCAGATGGTCGATTATAAGCTCGTAGATTTCAGTTGAGAGTTGCTCTGTTATTGCCTCAGGTAAAGGCGAGCCCCAAGATGGCCGGGTGGCAGTGCTCGAAGTCTTGACCGCATTGCGTAGCATATGCCACTTGGAGCCCGAATGGCTAGCATCGGAGGGACCAGTGGCTTTGGAGTTGGAGGAGATGAAGGGGAAAGGCATGGCGGGCTACGCAGCCCCAGCTATTTTGATACTGATCCAGTCCGTTGACACGCGGCAGACGTTAAGCAACGATGTGAACAAGGATCTTGATAGATGTGGTTGGAGTCGGACTTCGAGGATGGCCGGGGTGATCCGGACTCGGAGACAACGGCACAGCCTCAGCACAGGCCCTGTTCCCGCACGAACCTCATGCCCGGTCAAAAACTCATTGGCCCAACTGTGATTCGCAACCCTTGTCGCTCAAATTTGACTCGACCCGGAATCTTTACTGCCCGCATGTTTCAAATGACCGGAATTTTTCTGTTAGTTCGTTATCGTTTTAGCCACTTTCAAACCAACATACAAAATCGTTCAGCGTCGGGAAACTTCGCGACGTAGGCGTCCCAAGTCCCTTGCGTGGCCAGAGTTACATCGACACCCGTGGTGTCGTTCCAAGACCAGCCGGATATACCCGTGATTGTATCCACAAGGTTCCAGAGTTTCCTGAGCTATAGCGAGATAGTACATTAGGAATAAAGCGGAAGAAGGATTGGCAGTGGCGCACCGTCATGTATTTTTGACCACATCCTCTCGCGTTTTTGGGCCCACCCTAATGCGGAGGGCATTGAGCTTTCCTGTGAGGGCACGGAAGGTCTTTGCTTTGAAGTTCCCTCCGTCACCGGCCTCCGACACATGCTCGACAAGATACATGACCATGAATTTCTCATCGGGAGTGGTCCAGGCGGCATTGCCACTATCGGGGAGAGCTGGGTTGGGTGCCGGTTGAATATCAGATGCGGGCTGACTGACAGCGTTGGTTGGGGCCATTGGAACGACGAGTCCGCGACGAGCGAGATTGAAAAAAGACGCGTCGAGTCACATAGAGTCACATTCATCACATGGGACTGTTCTACTCTTTATATTAAAATTATAAAATAACGTGTGTCCGAAGCCTTTAAACTCCGCCAGGCTATCACCGAGTTCTTGATGTCCAGAGGCGACAGCGATTTAAGCCGACATTCTTGCCGACATTTATTGGTGCCGCGGCGGAGCCGCATGATTCAGATTCAAGCGAAGTGCCGGGGCGCTTCGCGCCCCGGCGTGCTCTTGTACATTCTCAGGAATATGTACATATGCATAAGCGCGGACTTGAGCGCGGATTCCGGCAGCCGCTCTAAGTTAACATTTTACTTCCACATTTATCACATTTATGTTGAAAAACTGAAGATACACAATCCCGGATACGGTGAGGCATGGAAGGCTGAAGCCATCGATCCCCACTATCCCTGCCACCTCCTAGTCTATTCCCTCGAAGCCTCAGAGACGTGGCAGACCGGACAGAGATGAGGATGCCGACAATGCGTTCAGCGTGTTTGATTCAGTATCGCCGCCCAAGAAGAAGAAAAATTAACTCCTATGGTGAGTCACTAATCTTGTTTTCATCCAACGTTACTTAGCCGGACATTAGGTGCTAAGAAAGTGCCTCACTACGCAGATTCCTTGATACGTACATAGCCTCTTACTTGGAGGAGGAGGAGGAGGAGGATAGTATTACTGCGGAGGTCCCTATAAGGAACAAGCAGGTACTGTACCTACGTACACAGTGCCCTAATGTACGCTACAGACAATATCACAAATCAATGAATTGAAATTCAATTGACAAAAGAATGCGGAACTAATGAGGCAACCCATGACCGATACCATGACCTGTCAAGGACGCTCTTGTGGGCTCGCTTAGTCAACCCACAAGGTCTTCAACGTCGTTAGATCGGGTAGCGGGCTGTGCCGCTTGTCGGCCTTACCCGCTTTATAAAACTCGCCCAAGATGCCCGAGCACAAACATCGTGTTGTAAAATCTCACCAACTTGAAAACCACTGAGACGACTCGGATGTGCCGCTCATTGTTTCATGAACGGCACTTGAGCCGTTGATTGCAAGCGAAGTTAGCGAATTGCCGCCAATGCGGCGCATGCTGAACTGAACTGAACTGAACTGAACTGAATTTCTATACTAAGCCGTACCTGGCCATAATGGCTACGCAGCAGTACTCTAGCTAAGCTAGGGATGAGGTAAGGATGGGTAACATATTGGGGAGTTGGAGGGTGAATTTTATGTATGTAAGCAAAGTAAGAAAATAAAAGGTGAGGACGATGGGGAAATTTTGAGGTGTGAGAGTGCGTGGAATTTATGAGCGAGAGGTAAACAATGAGATTTTGGCGGTTGCGGGTTGTTTCTGGTTCGTAGAGGGATTTTGAGTATTATATGATATGTAAAGTAAATAAGAAAGAAAAGAAAAGAGGGACAAGACCGAGTTAAGTGAAGCGTTGAGTTGAGGCAACGAACTGGAGAGTAGCTTTCAGGAGTTTGGGGTGTGAGAGGAGGGAGCGAAAATCAATGGAATGGAGGATACCGGCGTTGTACGAGGCAAGCTGTAAAGGCGGGCGGAGGTGATCCCAAGCGGGGCAGTGGAGAAGGTAGTGAGCGCGGGGTTTCGTTAGGTGCGCCACAGGCGTCGCAAGCCGGGGATGGGGCAAGCCTGGAGCAGAATCTGTGGGAATTGAGGCAGGAGAAGTCCGTGCGGAGCTGCACGAGGATGGAGATATTGGCCCGAGAGGCAGATGAGATGTACGGGGAGCGTAGGATGAGTGAGGGTGGGGAGTTGTCAATTGCACGGTGTGAGCCATCACATTGTGATAGCTCCCGACGTGACCTCAAAACACTGAACTCCGAGAACAACGGCTTAAGCCATCAACGTAAAAATGTACCCGGACCCAACTAATGGCTTGACGGAGAATTGAACTCCGAACCTTCCGTCAACCTATATGCAAATGCTGTAGATCCACGGAGCACATTACCACTACGCTACCAAGCCATTCAAGAAGTTGAACCACCAAGGACCAACTCCGAGTTAAAAATGTTATCCGGACCCAATCCATGGCTTGACGGAGAACCGAACTCCGAACCTTCCATCAACCGATATGCGAATGCTATAGGTACACGGAGCGCATTACCATTACGCCACCAAGCCATGAACCGGACTACCAAAAATGCCAATAAGACCATTGCCGTGGAAAAGGAATGGTTATCATCAAGGCTTGACGAAGAATCGAACTTCGGACCTTCCGTTAAAATATGCAAACGTTACATATTGCTACGGAGCACGTTACCACTATGCCAACAAGCCGTACGAGTGGCCAAGACGATCGCTGTAAAAAGAAGGGTTTCCGTCGGAACGGCTTGACGGAGAATTGAACTCCGGACTTCCCGTCAATCGATATAAAAATGTGTATTATAACAGAGTGCGTTACCATTACGCCACCAAGCCATAGGAATTGAACGACCAGCCAAGACGATCACTGTAAAAGAAGGGTTTCTGTCGGGATGGCTGGACGGAGAATTGAACTCCGGACTTTCCGTCAATCAATATAAAAATCCATTATCACGGAGTGCGTTACCATTACGCCATCAAGCCGTAGGAATCAAACGGCCAGCCAAAACTATCGCCATGAAAAAAAAGAAGGGTTTCCGTCATAATGGCTCAGCGGAGAATCGAACTCTGAACTCTCCGTAATGCATACCGCAAACTACATAGGAATGCGGAGTGCGTTACCATTATGCCAACTGAACCGTTCAAAACGTGCCCTATCTTCTTACTCCATGGACAAAAGAACGCAAGGCCCGTCGGAGATTCGAACTCCGGTCCCTCCATTATTTCAGTTTCCCGCCAGCTATGCGAATAGAGTGTGTTACCACTACGCCACCGGACCATGTGCATGACCGATACGGAGGTCTGGTAAGAGGCGCACGAAAAAGGAATGGAAAAGAGGGATGGCTCGACAGAGGGTTGAACTCCGGACTTCCTGCAAAAGACGTGCTTGTGCAAGAACCATGGCAGGATGCGTTACAGTTACGCCATTGAGTCATGAATACCAAACGGCCCAAAAGGATGGAACGAGAACTCCGGGTAATCAAAAAGGGTGGGTAGCATAGGGAAAAGGCTCAACGGAGGATCGAACTCCGGACTCTCCGTAAGTCAAACACTGGGGTGAAAGGATACGGAGTGCGTTTTCCACTACACTATCGAGCCGTCGCAGGCAGGAGCCGGATAGGAGGAGAGTTAGGACCGGACCTGGAGTGTCCGAGACTAGGGCCAACAAGTCCGGGTTGCGGAATCGGTGCCTGACCGAAGATGGTGTGGGTATGGGTTCACGGAGTTTGGGAATGAGTCACAAAGCGAGCTCCAGGCGGAGGAGCATGCGAGCAGGCAGGTATGGGACACAAAGGAACAACTCCGGCACAGCCTTGGGCTGGGGTATAAATACTACAGCTAGTCTACCAAAATATCATCTCAGTTTCGGCCCACATCCTCACCTTCTAAGCCTTAGCCAGCTTAGGAGTAGCTAAAACCTGCCCCGAACATCACCTAGAGGTCACCCGGAGTCGAGTTACACAGTAAATCAACCTCGGCACTCCCTCGCCGCCGTCAGACAGCGAACAGAGTTTCATTTGGCATAAGTTCAGTGCTGAATATCAAACCGTTTATTCCTCCCCTACGCAAGTAGGGCAGTGAAATCTCTCAAACAGCACAACGAGGTCCTCGGAGTTCGTGTGTAGCTGCTAGCTAAGGACGTTGATAGTGCAGAGCCCGCAGGAAGTCGCCTTCAACAAGCGAACGGGTGAGAAGTAGAAGAGAGAGGAAACTCCGTAGAGGCACAAAGAGGGGTAAAGGGAGGAGAAACTGCAGGAACGTTACCGCGAACACATAATTCCCCCGGTCTTACAATCTACGACTCAAAGATACTTTGGACGACTGTGGTTTGTGGTCCAGGAAGCCCCTAAATCCATATTTCACCTCGGACTTGACGAATTGGACCCCACATCGCCTTCCGAAGCTCCTCCTCTGAGGAAGTGTAGAACAGATTCAATCTCCGTTAACCCGAGAAGGCTAATTAGGCATTGGAGTTCGCTCGGTCCACCCTAGCTAGCAGGATTTTGAACGGACTGTTCAATCCTTGTATGGATATCCCCACCAATATTATTTAAACCTCCCTACATACTTGTCTACCGCAACAGAACAAATTCCCCCTAGAGGACGAGCAATTAAACATAGCCCGGATCTCCCCACCATCTGGCAGTTTAAAGCACCGCAGTCCGCATCACAACGGAGCCCTCGGCCTGTCGTGGCTACCTTCCACAGCGCCTTCCATTGCCCGAGAATGTAGAGGTTGATTCGCCGCTTGCAGGTCGTGAGAGAGACCGGGATGGTTAACGGTGGGGGGAGGAGAGTGGCGGCTTTTGCAGCTTCATCAGCATGCACTGCCTTTCAAGAACAGTGTTAGGCCAATGCTAGGCTATGAAAGCTCACCGCGGAAAGCGATGGATGCTGCTCTGACAGAACAGATAGGACTTGCTGTAGACTCGACATCAGGAAAAGCCGAAGTTACTGGATAGACATATATAGACTCATACAGTGGATATAGATGATATAGACGACCGGCCAACTCTATAGAAAGGTGGGAGCCCCTACTTGAAATCTATAGACACTCATAGACCAACATAGTCGGGGTGTTGTCTATGTATAGTACTTCATAGTACACATAGAGGCCCGTACATTTCTATAGTTGTCGAGAAATCACGCCAAAAATTGACAAAAGAAATAATCATATTGCGGTACAGTAGCGACACATGTGACATGGAGGTACCGTATACAATAGCCTGCCAACCCATGCACCCTGCATCCCTTCACCAAACATCCGCGTGCCTTCTAGAATCCAATACCGGTCCTCAGATGTTATGCACCGCGTAGTTGAGCGTCGTGGCGGCGTCCAAGTACATCTGATCAGTATCGAAGAAGACGGAATACGGAAGGAGGAATTGATACCGAGGGGCAAGACTTGATGAATGGGCGCGGACGGGCGGGGCGGCAAGAAGGGGGCATGTTCTGTTTGGCGGCAGACTTGGATACAACAACTGTGCCGTTGCAAGCATTTTCGTTGATGAAAAAACCGCGCTACGGCGAGGGAAGTTGTGCTTGCAGTCACAGCGGGAGTTGACACTAATTGAATTCAGTGAATGAGGCTGGAAGCGTTTGATGAAGTCTGCACGCTTCACTCGAGGTGTTGAGAATTCTAAGTTCAGGGTGTGCGGATCAGGGTAGGCGTTGGCGACTTAAGCCAGCAGGAAAAAGCGAGTTGACACGACGCCCATACGTTGATACACTGCTAGTACTCTTGAGTGAGATGGACAGTTTAAATCGGGGACTTGCAAATTGAGTACGTATTTGGCCGATCTGAGAACGGGAAATAAACGATCATCATTTGCTTCTCCAGTGTGGGCTTTGATGAAGTAAAGCGCCGATGGTCTGAATTGCACGACTCGACTTGTAGTGACGTGGCTTGGAATGCAGGATTTGAGCGACGAGGGGAGGAGTATGGTCACAGGCGAGGCATCATCGAAGCGGGATACAATGCCAACTTTGACAGTTGTCCCGAGAGAAGCATTGGCTGTGAACTGACATAGAGGCCGTAAGTCTTCCAGGCTCCCTGTCAAGTTGCCGACGACGTGGGAAGGGGAAGCGGTCACCGAGCTTCAAGTCGTGGCCAACTTGCGAGCTGGAATGGCTGCAGGGAAAGAGGACAGAGAGAACGAAGAGGAGAGAGAGAAAGACCGATCAACATGCACGTGATGATATACACAGAACCAAACATTGCGCACGGGCCTTTTTCGTCCATCTTCCCAACCTCATCCCAGCCTTCGCTGGGAGGGCGGCTGCGCCAAGATATGTACGTTGAACCATTGCTTCCTCTCACTTCCCCTTATGGATGTCGCTGTTGGAACGGCAAACCGAAGTCCTCGACTTGGGACTCAGTCGGACTCAGCCGTCGCCGCGCCCACGCGCGACACTTCCTCATGAACGCACCGGTTCGGAGTATTATTTACTCAGACTGATTCTATGTACATGTGCATGCGCGCTGTTTTCTCTTTACCTACCTGTGCTCATTACTCATACATATATCTATGACTCTTAGCTATACACGTCCGTTTGTATTTAAACCGTAGTTCTACGCTGAATTAACTTCAGATTTTCTGCGAACATTCCCTCCTAAGTCTTCTTTTCAATTGTTGCTTTTATCCCGGTGTCCCATTTTCCCCTTCATCTCAGTTGTTTTGTTTCCTCCATTGAAGGCTCCAAGTTGTCCCAGCGATTCAGCTCGAAGTCGAATTTGACCGTGTTGTGGACTGTGCTCTGAGCTCTCGTGCTGCATGCTGTCAAGCCCATTTGACCAACGGCGCCACCGCTCTTTCGAGTTGCTCTCCGGCGTCTCGAGTTTTCCAGGCTTGCTCCTCTGCACTACATTTCATCTGCATAAAATCAGGCCGCCTTATGCATGCTGCATTTCTCGCATGCCACTCACTGCTCAAATCTAGATCTGGAGTTTTTTTTTGGTATTGAGGGTTCGCGAACGATGCAGATGTCCAGCTTGCTCCCCCGGGCTTGTGTCTTTCTCTTTGTGTCTGACGGCAACATTTTCGCAAATCTAAGAAGTGATCACATGTGTACTGTTCAACACACGCGAGGTACGAGCGTCGTATGTGTTGAAGCGTCTGTCTAGGAGAGACTATCACATGTGCACACAGGAGTGAGAGTGTTCCTCTGGCAGTGGTGCCTCGCATCATGTTGACTCCAGCTTCTCAGGTGACTGTATCTTGGATTGAAATTGGTGCTCCTGTTGCTTCACATCATATCCATTGTCCTTTCCGCGAAGGGACTGTTCGCATCCCACGGGCAAGTTGCATGGGCATCGACCTACTAAGCACTCATTGCTAGGTCTCATCCACACATACCTTGCAGTCATCCCCCCACTCTGATTCATTGCCGCTATTTTGTGTGTAGAAGTGCATCTTACAATTTAGTGTTCCCCGCATTGATATAAAGCCTACTGGTTCCTAAACGTCACTAATTCTGGCGAGCGCAGGGGCCATCAGAAGATTCATTGGCCACCCTATCATCCCTCGCAGTTGCACTCCCAATTCTTCCTAGATAAATATTCTATGATCAGTCTCTGGAGAAGGCGAACGAGACGAGAGAGCCACGCTTGATACTTGGAATTAATACAATCTTTTTCGGGCTCATCAAATCTCCCATTTGGTGTTGTGAAATGGAAGGATACTCATAGACTCTGA